GTGAAGGGGATGGAAAGACTGTGGTTGATGTTTGGGTGCCGTGGAGAGCCTGGTGAACTGCAGACTCGGGATGTGTACGTTGCACTGACTGTAGAATTGGGTTGAATGTGTAGTTTACAAGAAATGAAAGAGCATAAATGTCACATGACTCCGTCCGGTACAAACCCACTGACATATAAAGCTTCAAGCATACCAACTGATTCGAAATGCGCTGTCGTTGGTGACAACGACGAGCAACGTTGAACTTGACATACTGATCAAGCCGTCAGGTTGTGCACGGATAGCGTACAATCCCTCTCCGGGAACCCAGATTACATGCATCGAAAGAATGAACCACGTACACAACGGGCCACATTAGTACACTCGTCTCCTCTTGTCCCTCTCCCTCTCCCGGTCCCTCTCCTCACCCCGACTTCGAGACCGTCCCCTACGGCCCTCCCGTCCCTCTCTGTTTCTTTCCTCTCGTCCACGATCCCGACCATCCCGAGCTCTCTCGTCTCGGTCTCGATCACACTGATCCCGGTCGGCCCGATTGCGATCACCACGACCCCGATAATCATCCCGTCTCGGCGGAGGGGAGAAAGAGCCCCTCTCCCTTGATCTCCTGAACGAGCGATCATCCTCCCTCCTTCTTTTCCCCCTTGAACGGTCATCATCCCTGTATCGCTCGTGACCATGATCGGCGTCTCGCTCTCGGTCACGATCTTCAGGAGGTGGTTGGCGGTCTGGGTCGTCACGATCATGCAAGAAGCCCAAGCCCGCAGCTCTCAACTGCTGGGTCAGTGGTATACACCAGTTCGACTTCGACCTTGTCCACATTCCTGCCAAAAAACACACTGGTCCAGATGGTCTCTCATGCCGTCCCCCAAATTCATTAGATGCTCCGAACCTGCCGGACATCGACCACGAACAATGCCTGGGACTCTCATATCCTGCCTACCTTCAATCTGCAGTCAAGGACTCTGTGCCCAAAATAGCAATACCCATGACCTCCTCTGCCTGACACCTTGATGACTGAATTGCATTTATTTGCCAATACCTCACCAATTTGTTGCTCCCTCTGGACTGGAATATGTGGCAGCATGTGGCCCTCATCAAACAGTCCCTTCAGTACTTCCTACATGACAGCAAACTGTGTCAATGAAACCTCACTGGCTTACCTCACATATATGTCCCTCCTGCCAAACATCTTGCCTTGTTGAAACAAGCCCATGATGACAGTGGTCACAAAGGGTTCAAGACTGTTGCTGGTATTCTCCGTCTCTGCTTTTGGTGGCCAGACCTCTGCGCAAATATCAAATGGTACCTCTGCACCTGCCATGCATGTCAAATCCATAGCATTCATGTGAGGGCACTAGGTCTAGCAAGGTTGCCACACACTAATCCCAAACAATAGATGAAGTGCTGGGGGTCTACTGTGGTTGAAAGTGGCTCTAACCAGCAGTACTAGTCAATATCCACATCACCAGGGCCAGCTGGATTATTGGGGGGGTCCAAGGGGGTCACTGGGGGGTCCCAGGGGGTGTTATAAGTCAGTTATAGATAGCTGAAAAGTGTAGCAAGAGTTGTGGAGTCAAGGCAGGTTTCTGAGAGCAGGGTGTTCAGGCATGTGTAGAAGGGGGTTCAAGACAATGAGATGACTTAGAAACTGCTTGTAGACTAAGGAGTTTCCTCAGAGATCAAATCTGAGGGATACAGCGTCACTGTATTACTGTTTATATACCTTGTAGGTGTTCACCAGAAGCCCAGGAGTCCAGGTAAATTCTGGGGACTCCTACAAGTGTCAGATAGACATCCTAGCAACACCCCTAGGCCTCCCAACCCTCTCCAATAAATTGTGGAGACTCCTACAAGTGTCATCTTGTGTTCCACTACTCCCAGTAGGGCCTTTAGCTACCACTATGTCTCACCCCAAGTGTCTGGACACAGCAGTCTTGTGGTGTCCTCTGCACAATGTCTTGTATGACCACTGCCATTGTCCTAAGGCAGTTACCAGCACAGGAAGTTCCAGGGGCTTGTTGTTTCATTGCTCCTAGGGTGAAATGGGTGGCCAGGGGTGGTAACAGGCAGTGCCCTGACAGTTCAGAAGGTCCTCAAACCTCCAACAGTTGACTGTCCGGCTCTGCTTTTCTCAAAGATTTATTATGATACCATGAAGATGCCTCCTGTGAAAGGATACACCTGCATCACTCAAGTCCAATGCTCCCTCTCTTTGTATCCCAAATGCTGTCCCTTAAATCAGAAACTGCAATGGCCCTCACATCAGTCCTCTTCCATGATGTTATCTGTTGCTGGGGCAATATTGTGGAGATTGTCACTGAGAATGGATCAGCCTGGGTAGCAGCAGTGAAGGAACTGGAACAATGCTTTGGCATCCACATCCAAATTTCACCATACAACTCTTGTGTGAATGGTGCAGTAGAATCGAAACATTTTATGGTTCACCAAGCAATTTTGAAAGCATGCAGAGATAATATCAAGCAATGGCCTGACAAAGTGCCAACTGCATTCTGGGCTGAGCGAATTTTGGTCCAGCACAGCACTGGTCTCTCCCTGTATTTCATTGCACATGGTGTTCACCCAGTCTTCCCCATGGACTTTGAGCAAGCAACATTCCTTGTGCCCCCACCCAAATTCCCTATGACCAACAGTGACAAGCTGGCCTACTCAATTCAACAGCTTGAGCACTGTGAGTCTGATTTATCTGACCTCCAGAAGAAGGTTCACCAAGCCCACCTGAGAATGGCAGACCAATTTAAGGCAGACAACAAGCACATCCTTGCCAATTATGACTTCAAACCTGGTACCCTGGTCCTCATTTGCAATACTTGGACAGAGAAGGAACTCAATTGAAAATCAAAGCCCTGATTTCTTGGCCCTATGGTTGTTGTCACATGGACTGCTTGAGGCAGTTATGTGATTGCTGATTTGGATGGGGCCATCCTCAAAGCCTGGATTGTGCAGTTCTGCATGTATCCCTACCATGTACAATCTGAATGCACCCCCACCCTGCCCAACATCCTGCAGCAGATGTCTGCTGAAATCTTACAAAACGTACAAAACATCTTGTCAACTACCACAGAGCCTGACCCCAAATAAGTAGCATGGGCCTTATGCCTACCAGCCTGTCAAACAGTGCCTGCCTTCCCTCCCAAATTTGTCCCTCATTTTTTTTGTTTCCTTGAGATATATCTACTAGGTCCACAAGCAGACTCAGTAGTATGGCAAGAACACAATCCTTACTGGAATACCTGCAATATGTTTATGATACACACCACATCTGAATTACCAAATGCAAAAACATTGAAGTCACATACCTTGAAGCACACTGAAGAGGCACAGGGATGAACAAGATGTATTACCATGAATTTTGCTTGAGGCAAAATTTGGATCTACAAGGACACTACAACTATGATGACGGGATGATGAGACAAATTATGACAAAAGGGAAAAAAAAAACAAGAAAAAGAAAACAATTATCTACTCAGCCAGTGCCCTCCCCAGGAGAGTCTGGACCTGCTCCGCCCAACCCGTTATGGTGTCCATGGCTTTCTGTGCCATTAGCAGGCTTGTCTGGAGCTCCAGCATCTTGTGCTCTGCCATACAAAGTGGCATGACCAGCAGCTCAATCTCTACAAGTTCTGTCAGCATTGCCCAAATATAAACTACAGAAGGAATGGACTTACCAGCCTCTGGAAGGCAGGACTGCTTATGTGACGGCCCAGGCTCACCCTGATCATCCTCCCTCTCATGCTTTTTGGCCTTGACAGTGCTGCTCATGGCTTGGGTAATGCACTTGGGTGCAGCCTTCTTTTTTTTGGCCATTGGAGTGGATGTCTGGGACTCAGGTTCTGGGGTCTCCAGGTGGAAGAGTGTGACCTTTGGGGCAGCCACATTTCTGTTGCGTGCTAAGGAAACAAGTCAGACAAACAAAATCAAAGACCAGGAAAGGAAACATGGTGCACCTATATGCATGCTGCATGGTTTTTTCACCACCTTGCATGCTGAACATGCCCCCTTACCCACTTGCTCTGCTATGTTGCAGTCATGGGTGGGTGCATCACCATCCAGGACAACATGCTTGTGACAAGTCTTACACTGTTGAAAATCATCAGCACCTACTGGTGACACAAAAAATGGGGGCATGACTTACACAGTTTTCCTCTGAGAAGGACTCCACCAACATGGTATCCTTGGAGACAAATAGGTGCATGGCCAGTGTCTCCTCCAAAAGCCAACCCTGCAATAAATCGGTTGTCAGTTTCTCAGTCACAGCCTAGTCAGGTGATCAGGTCATATGACCAAGGATGAGGTCATATGAGGTCATGCACA